CACAGAACAGTACAGCACAGTACAGGCCCTTCGGCCCATGATGTTGTGCCAAACCTTTACCCTAATGCTTAGGTCTATCTAACCTCCACCCCTACCTTATACTATCATCCATATGCCTATCTAATAGCTGCTTAAATGCCCCTAGTGAGGCTGACTCCACTACCTTCTCCGGCAATGCATTCCATGCCCCTACCACTCTCTGAGTAAAGAACCTACCTCTGACGTCTCCCGTATATCTACCTCCACTCACTTTAAAACTATGCCCCCTCGTAATAGCTACCTCCACCCTAGGAAAAAGTCTCTGGCTGTCCACTCTATCTATACCTCTGATGATTTTGTACACGTCTATCAAGTCACCTTTCATCCTTCGTCATTCTAAACAGAAAAGCCCTAGCTCTCTCAACCTTTCCTCGTAAGATCTTCCCTCCATTCCAGGCAACATCCTGGTAAATCTCCTCTGCACCTTTTCCAACGCTTCCACATCTTTCCTGTAATGAGGCGACCAGAACTGGACACAATACTCCAGATGTGGCCGAACCAGGCTTTTGTATAGCTGGAGCATAACTTCACAGCTCTTGAACTCAACCCCTCTATTAATGAAAGCTAACACACCATACGCCTTCTTAACAACTCTATCCACCTGGGTGGCAGCTTTCAGGGAACTGTGAACATGAACCCCAAGATCCCTCTGCTCCTCCACACTGCCAAGAATCTTTCCGTTAACCCTGTATTCTGCTTTCAAGTTTGTCCTTCCAAAATGAATCATCTCACACTTTTCAGGGTTAAACTCCATCTGCCACTTCTCAGCCCAGCTCTGCATCCTATCAATGTCCCTTTGTAACCGAGAACAGCCCTCTGCACAATCCACAACTCGACCCACCTTCATATCGTCCACGAACTTGCTAATCCACCCTTCCACTCCTTCATCCAAATCATTTACAAAAATCACAAATAGAAGAGGACCCAGAACAGATCCTTGTGGTACACCACTTGTAACTGAGCACCATGTTGAATATTTTCCGTCCACTACCACTCTTTGTCTTCTAAGGGTCAGCCAATTCTGAATCCAATCTGCCACATTTCCCCCTATCCCATGCCTCCTTACCTTCTGCATGAGCCTACCATGGGGAACCTTATCAAACGCCTTACTTAAATCCATGTATACCACATCTACTGCTCTACCTTCATCCACGTGTTTGGTCACCTCTTCAAAGAATTCAATAAGGTTTGTGAGGCGTGATCTACCCCTTATAAATCCATGCTGACTATCACGAATCAAACTGTGCCTTTCCAAGTGATCATAAATTCTATCTCTCAGAACCCTTTCCAATAATTTGCCCACCACTGATGTAAGACTAACTGGCCTATAATTTCCGAAGTTATCCCTATTCCCTTTTTTGAACAAGGGAATGACGTTTGCCTCTCTCCAATCTTCCGGCACTATACGCGTGGACAGTGAGGACGAAAAGATCATCGTCAAAGGCCCTGCGATCTCTTCCCTCGCTTCCCATAGAATCCTTGGATAAATCCCATCAGGCCCGGGGGACTTATCTATCTTCAACTTCCTCAAAATTCCTAGCACATCTTCCTTACTAACATCGACCTCCTCTAGCCTACCAGCCTGTTTCACACTGTCCTCTTCTACAACGAGGTCCCTCTTAGTTGTGAATACCGAAGAAAAGTATTCATTAAGGACCTCTCCTATCTCTTTAGGCTCTGTGCACAAATTCCCTTTACAATTCTTGATCGGTCCTACCCTTTCTCTGGTCATTCTCTTATTCCTCACGTATGTGTAAAAAGCCTTGGAGTTTTCCTTGATCCTATCTGCCAAGGTTTTCTCATGCCCCTTTATAGCTCTCCTAAGCTCTTTCTTCAGCTCCTTCCTGGATAACTTGTATCCCTCTAGAGCCTTTTCTGTTCCTTGTTTCCTAAACCTTTCTTAAGTGCCGAATGTTCTGGAAAGGATCTGGAATATAAAGACCACGTGTTGAAAATCTTTCAAGTTTGGAGATGTTTTAAAGTATGTTTTCCACACTGTAGGGATTCTATGATTCTATGATTATAAGTGAAGATTTAGAACTGGAGTTATCTCTGAATTACTCAGAGATGAATAACCTACGAAAACTAGACTCATCTAACTCTATTACTTAACTGTCTAAGTCTATCTCCCTATTTGCTATCTCCATTCACATTCCTTTACAGGATGTGGGCATTACTGGCTGGGCCCATATTTATTTCCCATCTCTAATTACCCTGAGAAAGTGGTGATGAGCCGCCTTTTTGAACCAATGCAGTCTATGTGGAGTCTGCATACCCACAATGCTGTTAGGGAGCGAGTTCCAGGATTTTGGCCTAGTGACAGTGAAGTAATGACAATATATTTCCAAGTGAGGATGGTGAGCGGCTGCGAGGGGAACTTGCAGGTGCTGGTGTTCCCAGGTATTTGTTGACCTTGTCCTTCTGGTTGGCAGAGCAAATGGGTTTTAGAAGGTGCTGTTGAAGGAGCCTTGGTGAGTTGATGCAGTGCATCTTGTAGATGGTACACCCTGCTGCCCCTTTATGTCAGTGGCGCTGACAATGCATTTTGAAGGTTGTGGGTAGGGTGCCAATAAGTGGGGCTGCTCTGTCCTAGTTGCATCATGTTCCTTGAGTGTTGTTGGAGCTGCACCCATCCAGGCAAATGGGGACTATTCCATCACACTGCTGACCTGTAGATGATGGTTAGACTTTGGGGATTCAGGAGGGGGGGGGGTGGGTTACTCACTGAAGGGTTCCGAGCCTCTGATCTTTTCTTGCAGCTGCAGTATTTCTGTGGCTATACAGAGTGATGGCGTTCTCTCAATCAGGGGATCTATGCAGGAAAGAAAATTGAGTTGGTTCAGGTGGTCAGCAGCAGATTCTGGGCCACTCTCATGGTGAGACTGTCACATTGCACACTGCTTAGGCTTGGGATTTCACTCAACATATCAATACTAATCTTCTGCTGTGAGAATAAAATAGTAGAGATTGTAGGTTCAACAGGTATGCAATCAAATATATTGTCATCTAAGGGTACACCAACTGTCACAAGGGCTCTAAATGTCTGGATCAAAATTAATAAATTGATACAAAAGTAATTCTCTCAAATAACCAAAATAATTTCTTTCCAGATGAATTTTCTTTAGGTATAGTATCAAGGTTTCAGCATTCATTGTCTATCTCTAACTGTCCCGGAACCGAATTTCTTTTAGAGAGTGTTGAGAGTCAATCACATTGTTCTGGGTTTGAATCCAGAATGGGTAACAATAGCAGGTTTCCTTCCTTTAAAGGACATTATAAACCAGATGGATTTTTCCCAACAATTATTCCATTACTGAGACCATGTCCAGATTTTATGAATTGATTTTAAATTTCAATAAGGCCTGATTTGAACCCACATTCCCAGATCATTATAGCCTAGTGACAATACCACGATGCTACCATCTACCTCTTTCTGTAAGCAGTTTCTGTCCCAAATTTCCTAACCAAAAGCTCCCAAAAGATAGGAGTTAAGGAGCTGAAACTGGAAGAAATAGATGCACCATTACAAAGAATGTGTTTCATCATCAATTTGAGCTATGTCTTACACACAGACAATGAACATGGTTTGTGGATTCTAGGGTTTCTCCTGTTTCATTGTTGATGTTTGCATGCATTGCTCTGGTCTCTCTAATTTGCAGGTGAAGTAAATAATTTATAGTCTTTGTAGCTGTGTTATGCTTGTGCACACTGCTTTGAATTGCTGGCAAAGGAGCAGGCTAATCGTTTTCATTGGGCACATCAATTTCAGTGTGAACCATGGGATTTTAAGTAAGTTACCAAAATGGCCGATAGAGCAATATCTATAGATACATTGTAAATTAACTTGAGGCAGATGCCTGGTTTACACGGCTCTTAAATGTTGTTTGCCTAACACAACAAGCACAAAAGGTATGTTGTACTGTCTCTTTGGTAATTTTTGTGGGAAACATTGTTTCCAGAAGAGTCAATAACCAAAGAACAATAAACTGAAGATAAATGGCAAAAGATGAGGGGAGATGGGGGAGATAAGGATTGGATGTAAGGTATACCTTCACTATTGATAATCATGGCTGGCTCAGTGCTTAGCAGTGTTACCTCACAGCGCCAGGGACCCAGGTTTGATTCCACCCTTGGGCGGCTGTCTGTGTGGAGTTTGCACGTTCTCCCTGTGTCTGCATGGGTTTCCTCCGGATGCTCCGGTTTCCTCTCACTGTCCAAAGACGTGCAGGTTAGGTGGATTGGCCATGGGAAATTGCACCTACTATCCAGGGTTGTGCAAGCTCAGTTGGATTAGCCATGGAAAGGCAGGGCACAGGATAGGGTGAGGGTTGTGGATCTGGAGGCATACTCTTCTGAGGGCTAGTGTGGACTCAATGGGCTGCATAACCTGCTTTCACAATGTGGGGATTCTATATGTTGGTATGAGCTATCTAGTTGAACTGTCACTATCGTGTTTCCTGAGAGGGATCTATGGGATCTGCTTGTTTCATTGAGATAGAAGTAAACCATTTGGTAGTCTAATGAGATGAGGTTCTTGTCTTAACAAGATGTAGCTTCTTGCATGATTGCAACTAGGTTACATTAATATGATAGACATTGTTACTGAGAAAGTGAGGAAGGTCCATACAGTGGATCTTATTCCCTCAAGATCCTGAGCTGCCCTTCTACCAAGTCTACATAACTCTACATTAACCCTTTCATACTCTTGCACAACAGAAACACTTCTTTTAACAAAGGGGCCTGTTATGATCTGGTATACACTGCCTGAAAGAAGGCTGGAGTAACTTCCAAAAACAAGTTGGATATATATTTGAAGAATGTGAGGTTTTCAGGAGTATGGAGAAAGGGTAGGAGAGTGGAACACGTTTACCAGTTCTTTCACATAGCCAGCACAGGCGATAAAGGGCCGTTGGGCTGTTATCAGTAGAACCCATTTATGCTCACTGTTATTTTCTTTGCAGGGTTTTCCAGTTCAACCATGAGTAATCCTTTTGTGACACTGGCTGAGGTCCTGGAGGCAAGAGGAAGTCCTATGGAAGATGATGAGATCTGGGCCTTGTTGTTGCAAGCTACCGAGGTCTTGCAGGAAAATGTGCTAGAAGGTAATTTCTTCAAAAACTCCAGCTATTATTTAATTTTTACATTGTGCCTCTAAGTGCTACAAAACAAATTCCGACCTTCTCAAAATGAGAGCAAAGTCCCAAACGTCTGCTTCAGGTTTATATAGATTGGGAACCAGCATTTCACAAGCAGCTTCATTTGTCTTTCACGTTGCATCATCATCATCTCATTCATTGGGCAGTTGGGAAGGCAGTCCTTTGGAAAAGCAAAATATTGAAGAGACTGAAATCTGAGGTAAAAATAGCTACTCAGCAGGTCAGGCAGCATCTGTGGAGAGGGAGACAGTTAGTATTTCCTACTTTCTGATAAAAGGTCATCAAACTGTAATCCTGTCCCCTATGGAGAATTCTGCTGAAGAATTTCAGTTTTTTTTTCTGCTTTGTAGTCATAAGAGCATAAGAAATAGGAGCAGGAGTAGGATATCTGGCCCCTCGAGCCTGCTCAGCCATTCAACAAGACCATTGCTGATCATTTTGTGGACACAGCTCCATTTACCTGCCCGCTCACACCATAACCCTTAATTCCTTTACTGTTCAAAGATCTATCTGTTTTTGCCTTAAAAGCGTTCAATGAGGTAGCCTCAACTGCTTCACTGGGCAGGGAATCCCACAGATTCACAACCCTTTGGGTGAAGAAGTTCTTCCTCAACCCAGTCCTAAATCTGCTCTTCCTTGTTTTGAGGCTATGTCCCTTAGTTCTAGTCATATTTCAGTTGTGGCTCCTTATCAGTTTTATTATTAAAGCTTCGAAAAGTATAAAGCATTGGATTCTGTAAAGGCTAGAATTGGCATGGTTTAGGCACAGCTTATTCTCAATGCTTCCCTTTTTCCGCATTTCCGTGAAAAGTGAACTAACAACAAGCTGCAGGAAATGTGAGGATCGTGACCAAAGAGAGCGGTTTCAAAGAGATAATGAAAGAAGGTGAGAATGAGGGAAAGATGTTGGGTCTGGACAGTAACGTAGGCCCTAGGGGCAAACTTGCTGACTTTGGATTGAGTGGGAGGTAGATGATGAGGACAGAGTTTGCAGAACAGTGTGTGCACTGAAGATCATGAAGCTAAGAGATAGTGCGAGGGCAGAGTAGGACATGGTTTCGGAGAAACTTGCAGATAAGAACAAGAATTTTGCAAATAATGTATTGGCAGATATGGTGCTCCTGATGGTCTGCAATTACAGGATGATTAGAAGGTGATACTTAGAAAGTCACAAAGAAGGACTGTGGAGACTGGAAGAGAAAGGTATGGTTAAGCATTTGATTGTGCTAAAATGTATAGCCCAAGTTCTTGCTTTTTCAATACAAAGGTTGATCTAGTTAGGACAAAAATCATTGCATTAAATTCCTGATCTGTCACAGTTCAGTATGTTAGAACTATGACCCACTCTGTTTCTTAAAGCCAGCATAATATTGTCAGCCATTTATCAAAAATTGAACAACGACCCTGAGCATCCTTATACCTTCTGTCAATCTGTGCCATCTGACTGGATCTCATCTAATATAATTTAGAGCTTGCTGTTAGATCCCGCTACAGCATTGATGATTAAAAATATACAGGTCCAAATGTTACAAATCATTTGTCACAAATAGAAACTCCAAATAAGATATAATATCTTAGTAAAATATTTACACCTGAATTGTTCGGGGTTGAACTATACAATGGCCTGGACTGGGACTTTGTCCAAAAGAACTTTCCAACTTTACTCCCTCAGAGTATCGAATGGCTCATGGAAGCTACAGTCAGCCTGAGCTCACTGCTGGTTTTGTTTGTTCTCAGGCCACATGTTGTTCCACCGAAAATGCAACCTGTTTAGTACAATACTAAGCTGCTCAAATATCAGGGCAGCTCCCTCTCTGTAATAAGGGCTTTTTGCTTCCTTAGCAACGTTACATGAAAACAGAGAACACTTTGACCCTGGGAACTAGTTCCACTGTCATTCATCTACACACCCAAATGATTCAGGATTCCCAGGCTCAGGCTATTGCCATACTGTGATCAGGTCCCAGTGTTGGTGCCGCAGGGTGCCATCTTCTGTAAGGAAACCAGCTTTCACCTATCTTGTGGGGATCATTTTGAGAGTGGGTATAATCTGGGGAAAGCCATGGGACCATCCACATTTAGTTGAAGTGGCACTGATGTAAACAGACTGGCATTTGATACCAGAGGGCATCCTTTCATTAGGAAAACTAAATACTTTTAAAATTGGGATTTGGCAATAATGGATAGGGATCTCCCCTTTCTCAAAATTCTTCCCAGAAATCTATTTTAACCAAAGATGTGCAGGTTACGGTGGATTGGGCATACTAAATTGCCAATAATGTCCAGAGATGTGCAAGTTAGTTGGGTTAGCCATGGGAAATGCAGGATTACAGGGATACAGTAGGGAGCTGGGTCTGTGTGGGATGCTCTTTGGAGGGTGATTGTGGGCTGGATGGGCCAAATGGCCTGCTCCCACACTGTACGGACTCTGTGGTCCTATAGTCAACTAACTGAATTGCAGACACTTGAAGATTGACAGGGTCACATGTTTGTTCAACATTATTGCCATGATGGACAGAAAAGCAACTGATGCAAGAGTTGCTTGAATGAGGTCAGCATTGATCCAACGTTACCTCACAAAATGGATATTTTCCGTGACTCTATTTAGCTACATTGCCCTTTCCTAGTTAAGTGGTTTGAGGACGTTGTCTACAATGGAAGAAAATGTTTATTTAACATATAAATTGGGTCATTCCAGCTCACTTCATCTCCTGTTTGATGTTATTGATTGGTTGCACCATTGCACTTCACTCGTCAAAAAATGTCTCCAACATCCCACAAGGCGCAAGCTGAACCATGTTTGAAGATTACAGAAAAAAAACAATTTCAACAGTATCCTGCTTATAAATAAACAGCTCCAGTGTCTTTAGTTCTCTTGTACGATGTCTTTGTTTAACTGTTAGAGTAGGCATGTCACTTGTTCCTCAATCTCTGTTCCACATCCAATCAGATAGCTGCGTGTTACTTGAGAGGGACATAAACTCATTCAGATTTGGAGTTCTGTTCCCAAATCATGAGTTTTCTCATTTGTATTAGAAAGATACTTTAACTGAGGTAAGGACATCTGCTGTGAACTGGAGTTGGAACCCATAACTCAGAGTAGCACAGTGCTGAAGTTAAGATGGACCCTCTATATATAGCACTTTTCACAACTCTCACTATCTCAGTAGACTTTGCTGTCAGTGAAGTACTTGTCTCATCTCTGTTCAAGAAACACACAGGAAGCTCTCACAAAATTCAATAGCGTCTAGATAATCAGATTTCTGAGATGGTTGGTTTAAAGGATAAACATTGGCGAAGGCACCAGGGCTAATGATACTGGTCCACTTCCAAATAGTTGGCAGATACAAGTTTTTTTAATGTACCTAGTCTCAGTTCAAGGCCTTATCCAATAGACGGGTATCTCCGACAGTGCAGCACTCCCTCAGCCCTCCAGACAAGGAGTGCCCACTTTGTTTTTTGTATCAAGTCCTGGAGTAGGGCTTGAACTCAGAATTTTATCTTTAAGGGGCAAGAGTGCTTCTTAGCTTACACGGTGGGGAAACACTAAAACATCTTCCAAAACGTTCCTGATGCTGGATTTGGCTGTGCTTTTTTTGAATCACAGTATTAAATTGGGAATGGTAGCTGAGGCCTATTGTCCCCTTCAGGCTCATAAAATGCTGAGCTTGACCCCAAAACTGCTTGGATCGCAGGCAATGTTGAACAATGTTGAACTCACCTCTGAAGCTGGATGATCCTGCAAAGTCAATGGAGAGAATCTCAATTGCATGGCTATTGTTAAAGCAAACAATACCTTTTGGGCCACCTCTGTCGACAGCATGCCCACAGAGTTCCGCCCTTGAAATTGGAGAGTTTGAATTATGGGGAGAGGCTGGATAGGCTGAGACTTTTTTCACTGGAGCGTATGAGGTTGAGGGGTGACCTTATAGAGGTTTATAAAATCATGAGGGCATAGATAAGGTGAAAGGCAGGTGTCTTTTCTCTAGGGTCGGGGATTTCAAGACCAGGGGACATATTTTTAATGTGAGAGGAGAAAGATTTAAAAAGGACATGAGGAGCAATTTTTTACACAGAGAGTGATTTGTGTATGGAATGAACCTCCAGAGGAAGTGGTGGATGCAGATACAGGTACAACATTTAAAAGACATTTAGATATGTTCATGAATAAGAAATGTATGGAGGGATATGGAGCAAGCGCAGGCAGGTAGGACAAGTTTAGTTTGGGATTATGTTTAGCATGAACTGGTTGGACCAAAGGGTCTGATTCTGTGCTGTATGACTCTATGACTCAGGACTGCGGGAGGTGAAAGGGGCGATGATTAGGCTTCCTCCCATCCTGGGCTACATTCACCTCTGCTCCCTCAGCAAGGGGTCAGACTGGCTTCCTTGGACTACACACCATTAATAAGGCCCATATATGGCCTTGAGAAGTTAGACATGAGCTTCACTGTCTCACTGTGCCAGTCATTACTGCAACATTGGGCCTCAGTTAGATTCAGAATCCAGGCTTAAAGGCTCTCCAGCACTGACCCTTGTCCTTAAAACATGCAGCTGCTGTATGCAGTTCTCCATACAAAAGTGACAGACCCAACCAAAATGTAGATGGCATTTGATGATGAAAGATATGTGGTGTATAAACACCAGTATTGATCTATTGAACAGAATGGCCTATATTCTCTGAAGTACAGCATAATACCGTATACCATTGAAAAGATTACCAATGCACTTCTGGAGATATTGCTGGCCAGCAATAACATTTGGAAACTCAAGGCTCTAATTACTGAAGTTCAAAGTACACGTCCTTGGAATAAAGTGTGTATTGTTCTCTTCGGCAGAGCTAAGACTAACAATTGTATTCGTAAATCATTAACTGTTTGTTTTTCCCGGGGATCTCAAACTAACCTGTGTCAAATCGAAAGGGTTAGGATTCCATGGATGTAAAG